CTTATGATTATCTACTCTTTCCTACAACAGGGGCAAAGCATTCCATTCTGATGCAAAAATCTGACACCATTTTTCTCAGAGTTAAAAATTTGTACGCCATTGAAAAGACAAGACATTCAATGGCTTAAAAAAAAACCAACACAAATATCACAAGGGAAATTTTTCTAATGCTAAACTGACAGCACAATATTAATAATATTGCTACCACATTATTCTTGCATTCTTGTACAAACGCCTAAAAAAGCTGACAGCAGACACAGTATTAAACCCACCAGCACTTCTCCAGTCCCTCTGCTCAAAGGACGGAAGAAAAAACGTTACCATAAGCTGCATGCCACTGCTTGCCAATATCACAAGATCCTGCAAAGCATCTCAAAGTCTGATCTTTACTGTGGCAAACGTTAAGGCACTTTGTTTCTTCCCTTTTACAGATTGTTAACTTAGAAATTCGTACATATCCAGAGCCTGCAGGCACTGGCACTAGTTTACCACATCTATAGAACTGGTGGATGCTGTTCCTCTGCATGTAATTTGAGTTAAAATAGTCTTGTTGTGCTGTTTAGTATTGTGCTCACCCCAAGCCTTTAAAGTACCGATGAGATAATTTTGATTATAATTGAACTATTGTTTTAACTGCACTCTACCTGAAGAAAAACACGTACATGTAAACGTCCTCCCTGACAGAACCATTGTATTATGTGGAAAATTATGCTTTCCCACACACTGCTTTCCTAGGGCATAAGTATGTCCACATAACTCTGAGGCAAGAAAGCACACATCTTAATGTTTATATAGCCTCTGATCATTTACAAGGTGTAAGTTAAAACAATTCTGCTTTCTTTTGAAACACACATAGTAGGCTTTACTAAGACAAATAGCTATGGAAAGCAAATAATCAGATGCCTCCTAAGGCATTAACCCCTTGTGTTCTTACCTGGCTCCTAGGATATCCTTCTTGGCCAGACCAATTCCAGCTATAACCTTCACCCTGACAATTCGTGTGTTCTCCTGAAATACAAAATGCCATATTTAGGATGCATTCAGTCAATTTATTTTTCAGATCTGTTTCTAGTCTACAGAACTAAAAAACAATCATTGGCACAGTTTTGGATTCACACTGAAAACTACAGGTAAGCAGTGCAGATACGTTGACAGAACAAGTTCTAAAATTCAATATCAAGTTAATTCTACCTTTACTCCTTTCCAAGCATTATCAGCATCATATTGCATACATAATAGATAGAGAATTCAACAAACCAGCTACACCAAAACTGTAGGGTTTTTTGTTTGATTGGGTTTTTATAAATTTATCTGGGTTCTCAGCATTCTCAAGTGGGATTCTGTTGAGTTAGGGTGCTTAATGCTACAGGGCATGATGGCTACAGGGCATGATGGCTAATCCCGTTCCCAGCAGCCCTCTTTCCCAAACACCCCTCAGAAAGATTGACATTGCTCTAGCATCAGCAGTCACCATTTTCCCCTGAGAGCCTTGCAATACTCTCCTACTGATTTGTATGTACTATGCAGCACACCAGAGGACCTGTAGAGCAAAATAGGAAGAGTGAGCAAGCTGCTATCGCTGCAATTCAAACAGCCCTATGGCTTCTATGGCACCCAAGCTGCACACAGCTCTGGTCACACTACTGAGCAAGGCAGACATGAGGAGTTCAGATGGGTTGACGTCAGTGGAGTTGGAAGCACATTATGCTGAATGATTCATACTTCTCCTACCCTGAACATCCTGCAGATGGACAGAGGGCTGTCTGCAGGATGACCATCTGATCTCTCCTCCCCGTACACCGATGACCAGGCTCTGCTGATCTCAGTTGAGCTGAGAGGCTTTGGAATGCCACGCAGCAAACCACATCCGTGCATACTCCAACCACCCTGCAGTAGCCAAGCTCAGTGCCAGGCCAGCAGCAGCTCTTCCTTCCCAAGCCAGGTGACTCTAACAATCAGCAGGTCCTCAACATGTCTGGATAGAACAATCCCATGGCATACCTGCTCCCAAATCCTAGTATCATCTCCTTTGTATGAGTTTTAGGATGCAGCAGACCCTTCCATGCAACTCTTCAAGCTGCTGAACTGACAGAATGGAACTCACCTCATTCTGCCAGATGATTTTCTGCCAGTTTAGTCAGCTGATCACCGCACCACAGGTCCCCAAATCAACAAACAACGTTCTCACATAAGATAAGTCAAGTGCAGTTCATTTGTTTTCCTATTTTAATCTCTGATCCAACTTTTGACATTTTCAGTATACCTCTACAGATGAAACTCACAGAGCTGTGAAGAAACCCTAAAGCTAGGATTGTTCATGCAGAACAGCAGCATCCGCTGGGCTGCTAGGCAGACTTTTTGAAGAAGCCAATGTAAGAGTGACCAAGTACTCCCAGAGAGCACACGTAGCAAACTGCTGTAGGCAAGAAGATCCTGTTGTCACCTCTGAAATACAGCAGTACCACATGGGTTGTGGTGACAGGCTTGCAGAAGTGCAGAAAATAAGGAGTATAGCCAAGACATTCAGTTCACCAGCAAACTCAGCACTCATAAAATGCACCAGTAGTGTGCCTTTATATTCCTTTTGAAGATATCTCAAATTTTCCAGAAAGAAGTGATGTACGTGTAAAATAAGCCTTCAGTGACACGCAGAAGACAACATCCCACAGAGGGCAGCTTTCTGGTGACTGGTAAAGTGACAAACAGGCACAAGTGAGATGTGGTTTTGCCTGTAAAGCTGCCACTACTGCTTTAATCGTCAAAACAGATCAAATGTAGTTTGCTTTTTCTGAGCTGTGTATTGCCTAGCTTCACATCATCATGCTTTTTAGGTAATATAAGAGCTGTGCGAAACAAAGTCGAACCAAGAGCTCTACCATATAAGGACTCTAACATATAAATTATTAACATACAAATAATTATTAGGAACACAGTCAAAAAAACCTGTCTCCACTCATGTGAGAGAGCAAAACAGCAGCAGTGCTGAGCCAGCATTAGGTAACGGGCAGGGGGGAAGAAGGTGTGCACACACAGGGCACTGCTTTCCTCTTTTAGAATTAATGAGATGAGAAAAAGTAATCGTTTTAAGTGCTCTTAATGCTCTTCAGTTTTCTATACTCAGGCAAGGTGTAGAGGGAGTATAATTTGCTAATTTACCTTTTTTTCTTCTACTTTCTGAACTCCTACAATATAAGATAATTTTTAAAATAATGTGGGTATTTTATCCTGCGCTGCACACTAATGCTGTTAGACCTTCAGAGGACAAAGACTTCTGAGACACCTGCTATTCCCTATTTTCTCCTTTTTTCCTTTTTCAACACCTGATCCCAAATGTCATTTCCCATGCAGTGTTAAAATCCAGCTCTGAATACAGAACTATTAGTTTTTAATACGGACCTTTTAGTGCTCACCATTTCATTACCCTAGCGAGTTACAAAAAGTCCTGCGAGTAACAGAGAGAGACTCATTTTACAGAAAACTGAACCAGAGCAATGAAGAACTACTAGATTTAGGCACTGAAATTCAGATATCCAACAGCACATAAAATAAGCAGGTGCGCACAAAAGTCTCAATTACAGCTTCCTTTGGAGCCCAGATTCTTCTTCATCATTTTATTTGTGCCAGCAACATCATATTAACAATTCTGCATTAAGCACAAACCAGCCAACAACAAAACACAGAAAGATAGGAAGCTGAGGCTCCATGCCAGTGCCCAGGGCCAAAGTAGCAAGCTGCAGGTTTTCTATAGCCCCAGGGTCATTCACTCTGAACTGTGCATGCAGAATCATACATGAGAGCTACTCAGAAAGTCCCTTATCATAAACAAAGGGCATTTCCCAAAGGGCATTTGTAAGCTGAAGAGGTTTAGCTAAGCTTTTGAATCATGGGCAAGGATGGATCCGATGGATTTGTTATATACCCAAGCTCTGTCCCCCTCCCCAAACCCAGTCTGCGTTCCAAGAAATATACGAAAGATGGGAAAATGCCAGCTTCCAAAAACCTTCCCCTTAACAAGGGTGGCTAAAAAACGCCCAAGCTGAGCAACATTTACAGGAGTAGAGCTGAAACAGAGCGCCTGAGGGCTGCGCTGTCAGCCCAGCTAGATGGCCTCCACGTCCCTGGCAACCATTAAGAGAGCAGAGGGCAGCGCAGCCCCGCAGCACACCGTGGCAATTCTCTAGCGCTATTCCAGCGCAACTGCAATCCTAAGAGGAAAACAAGAGATCTATGAGAGGTCCGTAGCTACTGCTCTGAAACAGCGCAGAATCAGACATCACTACAGCACAGTACGGATAACGCCTCCAGGCGGTCCGGCCCGCACGGCGGAACTCTCGGAAGCACCGCGCGGCAGCGCACGGCTCGGCTCCCAGCCTCCCGCGCCGCGTTCAGCACCGGCGGCTCCGCATCTTCCCGACGCGCCGGCACCAAGTTCCCCACGGCGCCCGGCGGCCACGAACAAAGCCGCGGCCGGGACCCGGCGCCGCCTTCGCGCGCGGCCCGGTAGCCGAGGAGAGCCGCCCCGGGACACCGCCCCGCCACTGGGCGGCACCGCGCCGAATCCCGCCCCGCCCGCGGGCCGCGGCCCCCGCCCGCCCGTTCTCTCCCTCCCTCAGCCCACCGCGGCCCGTGGCCGGAAGCCACCGCCCCGAAAGGACCCCCGTCCACCCGGCTCCGCGGGCTCCCCGTGGGCACGTCTCCGCCCCCCTCCTCGGCCGCCACCCGCCCCACACGGAGCCGGGCGTCCCGCTGGCCTCACCTCCTCTCCGGGCAGCCCGAACACCTCCGCGGGAGAGGCCGCCATGCCGCGCACCGCCCGCCACGGCCGCGCACCGCCCCCGGCCCTCCCGCGCTGCCGGCCCGCCCCCGCCTCGCGCGCACCCCTCCCCTCCGGCCTCCCACCCCGCGCTGATTGGCGCAGAGGAGGAAGACGGCGGCGCCCCATTGGTCTTCCCGCCGCGCCCCGCCCGGAGACGCGCGCCGTGCGGCTGCGGGGGCGCGCGGGCTCTGGGGGTCGCGTGCCTCAGGGCGTCCTGTGGGATCGGCCTCCGCGTGCGGGAAGCGCGGCGTTTGTCTGGAGCGTGCCCGCTATCCTTGTCACGTGCCTTTTTGCATCCCAGGGGACCGTTTGCGTTAACAAATAGAACTGCAGAGATTCTCGAGGAACGAAGAAGAAAATTGCATTGAGGTGCAGATCCCGCGCACCGCGGTGACGGCGCGGCCTTCTCTGGGGCCTGGCGGAAGGAAGGGCCCGTTGTGAGGGAGCTGGGCTGGCGTCATGGCCGGGCAGAGAGAGAGGCCAAGTGGCAAAGTGAGCTGCCGTGGCCGGTGTGGAGGCAGACAGCCACGGTGTAAAGGCCTCGTGCTGCCTCAGAAGGAAGATCTGTGGCTGTTACCAGCGTGTCAGTGAGGGAGGATGCAGCTGTTGTTACTGACAGTGTGCAAGCAGCCCTAGGAGCACCCTGTGCCCCTCAGCAGTTCCCCAGCTGCGGTTTGAAGGACCTGCTTCCAAAACGTGGTGGTAAGAGGCCTGAATTCATGCTGCCCTTACCAGAACTGTGTGAGGCATCAAGCCAGGCACCCTGGTGAGAAATGTTCCCTGGTGCTGCCAGGCCCTGCCCATGGTCACACCTGGGCTTGGCAGGCAGCCCTGAACAAAGCATCTGTTGTTCTGGGCATAGCAAGTCTTCAGCTCTAGTTGGTTAGCTCTAGAGGATATGCAGTCGCTGATCCTCACGGTCAGTTGTGTCTTCTATTTAAAGCTTAGCTACAGTGGCTTTCAGGAAACAAGGCATTTCATGCATCGGTTACATTCTGTGAAATCCTAGTTCACCAGGATTCACCAGGATCAGTTGGGAGTTGGATCTTGATGGTCCTTGGTCCCTGGCTTGCAGCTTCTTCTTGTCTGTTTATCTGCAGGGTGGGTTGTCCTCCCAGTTTACCAGCTGAGAAAGTGAGCAAAGATCTGTTCCTGCCAACATCATATTACGCATGTCTCGAAGTGAATGTAGGGCATTATTTATTAAAGATGGTGTGAGTGCACTTAAACTGGTGAGAGCCAGACAAGATGGCATTCAGACAGCTATCCTTTGTCAAGATGATTTAATGAAGGACACTGTGGAGAACCATATCTCCTATTAGACCAGCTGGAACCATTTGGAAAAAAAAAGACCCAGATATTCAAAAGAAAGAGCCCCTCCTGTTTCTGGGTGAGGTCTCCAGACATGCAATCCTTCAATCCAGTTCCATTCACTTTCCTTACAATACCCCTTCATAGCAAAACTTGAGGCTTGTCCAAATTTAAATAGTTCCTGGGTGACTGAGCAAGGACAACCCACCTAACTGATAGCAGGCACAATCTCCAGGTCACTCTGTGAAGAGCTAGTGCTGTATGGTTGAACCTAGTGTTGATTAAGAAACTTCCTACAGCATGCTAGAAAAACCACATGGGTTTGTGGCTGTCAGGCATGATTCTTTTTGCAATTCTGCCTCTTTCACTTGGTTAGAGAACACAAACCATGTCAGACACTCCCAGAATTTTATGGGATTTTTTCAAAATTAAATCAGTTAGTCTAATAAAATATACTATTTAATTTTTTCATATAAAGTGGTTATTACAACATTGCTGTCGTGTGGCTGAACTCTGCACTGTGTCTCTGCAGTCTCAGTCCCACCTTTTCTACACACCAGAAGCACACCCGAGGTGTTACTGAACGAAGGCGTTGCTTGTGAATAGTTTATTAGCACATTCTTTCTGTAAAACATCAAAACTCAAACATTAACTTCTGAGTAACCTATCATTTCAAGATGAAACAATGCCCCTTCCGAAATTTACAGCAGGGCATTTGCACACTCCATTTTTTTTAAGTCATATGGTTTTTTTAATACTATATATAGTTTTATTTTGTTTCCATGAACAGACCACAGATTGTCCAGAACTGAAGTTATAGCACAGTTGGAAAACAAGGCCATCAGCAGAGGCCTGCTATCATATGGCTTGTGCTTGGTTTGCTACCCAGAGGTACCCATATGCTGAGTTAAGATCTGTGTGTGTTTTCAGAGTAATCAGGAATCTTCAATATCAAGTCACTTAAAAGAGAATAAACTTAAGTTAAAGAATATTCCCTTACTTAAAAAGAGAAGAAAATAAAATGCAATGTTTGTTAACAAACATTGAGTTCTCAATGTTTGAGTTCAGCATTTAATATTTTATGATCTTGTGCAATTACAGACTATTAGGGGAAGAGAACTCTTCTGAGAGATGTTCCTTTTCTTTTTACAAATAATTTATTGTCAGCTGCACAGAATAACCCTGCATTTGGATCATCTAAGTGCAATGGAATGCTTTATCTGTTTATCAAGACCATTAAAAACATATGAATATTTAATCTCATTACACCATCCCAATGGTGAGTTCTCATCTGGTAACAAAGAAATGTGACTTCTGCTGCCATCTAAATTAGCATTAATTGACCTGAAAGATTTAAAGATTAAAAAAAAAAGAAAAAAGGAATTTCATTTTCCCTCTCTTAGATGATAGCATCTAGACTGACAGACCAAAGGTACGGTCAGAATTGTATTTACATTTACAATGTTTAGTTTGCTTCTTTCTTCACACTAAATCCTTTTATGATCTAAACACATCTGTACATTCTAATACTGAACTGCTTTGAAGAAAAAAACAAACACAAAGCTGTTTTTGTTGTTAAGCAGGAAATGAGGTTGTAAAAGAAGATTTGTTTCAGATTTCCAAGGGGTTATCATAATAAAACAACCTTTAGCTTAAGAATATATGTGAACAGTGGTCATGGTTAAGTTATAAAACCTAGGACAATAAGTGACATCAAGGATTATTCAGTACAGGATACGGGTTTGCTCTAAGGCATTTTAAATCAAGTTAGATAAATTACCTTCATTGCTCTTGCTTTAAACCAAAGGAATTAGAGGTAATTTTATTGCCCTTACAAAACAAAACACCCATATGCAAACGATACACGTTTAGATTTTTGTCCTATTATCTTTTGTTCTACTGAGTCATATAATAGGAAATGTTATGATGATGATCCAGTCGTGGTGTCACAGTGACAGGTAAGTGGAAAACTGCATGCAGGAGGGAATTAACAGAAAAAATACATATCGCAAGTGAGTCACTGCTGTGACTAAGCTGAGTGAATACCTGTTGAGAGCATCGAAGTCTCAGTTTCTCGACTATGGTGGCAGTGACTCACTAAGACAACTAATGCAGAGAATTTAGAGCCCAAAACCTAACATTCTTCTCAGCTAAACAGTTAATTGCAAATACGTGCTAGATAATAGATTTCAAACACCACGATAGCATGATGCAACACTGATAATGATGAGATGAAAGCTTGCATTTTGAAAGCGAGAACTTCAGTCTGATAAAATGGCCCCAGACTATTGTGCTTGCATTGCATTCTAACTGGGTAGGTCAGGTTGCTCTGAAAGTAATGCCTCCTGTCTATTTCCATGGAAACTGCAACAGATACAAAGAACACAATAGCACTGTTTGTTAGAGCAAATTCTCAGCGACAAAAGACTTTTTCAATAGTCACCACCACCATTAGCTGTGCATTTTCACCAGCAATGAACAACAGCCTGCATGCCACATAAAAATGCACCAGTGGAGGTGTCCCACTGTTTCACAGCTGCTATGATGGCAAAGCAGTGACGCCATCACCCCTGCAGAGATCTCCGTCCCCTCAGAGAGCTGCTGACATCTACAGCTCTTGATGGAGCCAGGGGTGGATATAAGAAGGGAAAGGTGTGCAGCAAAAAACGTTGTTCCTCATTTCTGTGACCGGCTCAGAAGTTTACAAGCAATTAGAAATGTCTCTGGATTGATGAGCAAACCTGCATAGTAGTAACTGTAGAGGAGGTGGAAAGATAATATTCAATTTGTGCACATGCATTTGAACCAAGCGGTGAACACTTGTCTGAATCAGCACCACTGAGATGTTATTTTTCTCTGTTTTCAGCTGGAGAGGGAGAAGCTGCCAGAACAGAAACATGGAGCTGCTGAGCACCAGTCAACTGCTGTCACCATTCTCAGCTTAATTCATCACCAGTGATCCCATGGTTAACGCAATCCTTGTGGCTACTTATGCCCACAGCTCAGCCTTCCATAGTGTTACAGAAGTAAGAACTTTCTGGACATAATGTGTTTGGGTTTTTCTTTAAATACCTTGAGATCATCATCGTGTGTGCATGTGAACTAGTCATACTAGATATGTTCTGCTAGTAGCTAAAACACTGCTAAGATCAGAGGAAGCTACTTTTCTGAATGGATGTGCGCTCATGCACTCCTGTCTTTTCTTTCCACAAGTAATCCTTGTTGGAGTAGTTTTTTGTTATTCCGTTAGCACAAGAATATCTATCTGAACAAGGCCTCTTGGACACCAGAGCTTTGACTCCCCTCTTCTGTGTATGTAAAGAGAGATTGCTTTGATTTTCAAAGCAGTGTGAAACAGAAAGTGCTTTGTCCCAGCCAGAAATAGTAATTCCTTATACACAGCTTTTTCAACAACACATTTCAGAATGCCCCCTCTTGTCTCAGGACAAGCCAGAACTGACTCTGGGAACTAGTTATCACAGCCCTTGGAACAAGTATCCTGTTGAAGTACTGATATGGAGAAGGCAAGTTGAAGACTTGAGAGTATTTTTGTAGGATAAAGGAATTGATGAATGAGTTCTAATTGGGGAGTTTATAATAGAATACAGTTGTAGAGTTATGTTTTTTGTCAGTTCTGAGAAAACAAGGATATCTGAGAAGAGGAAGTCCAATAACTATGAAATAAACATGCTGAGAAGCAGAGATCTGTAGGGACAGGCTGTTCAGCTACCCGAGGAAGGCTGCAGTGACCACAGCAGCTTCAAGTTCACTGAAAACTTGATTCTAATTTGCATCATGCGATTTACTGTTACAGATAGACAAAGTTTCAATGATAATAACTAAAAATAAGACTTTGAGAAGCAGCAGTTTATTAAAAAGAAGATGACAATAAAAATGAGCTACAAGGCCAAAACTGGAAGTTTTTAATAATTGCTGAGCTGCAGTACTACCAGATATAGCAAACAGGTAGGCAAGCTCAGGGAGAACAGACTCAGCAGCAGCCACGACAAAGCAGTTGGATGTGTAGATGTTCCCAGGCACCCCATTGTGAGCACTTATGTCACTGGGAGGCTATCTCTAGAATATTCAATGCGTGTAGCAGGAATATCATCATCTATTAAGAACATTCTCTGGTTCTGTAACCTCTGGGTTCTAAGTGTTCAACACTATACATTTTTTAAGCAAATCTGTCATGTTCTCAGTTCACTTTTGACTGAACTAGCTTTGCTTCACTTGTGGATATCTATGCGTGTGTGTATGTATGTACACATGTATGTATAAAAACACTCATATTTACTAAAAGATGGGCAGCAAAATTCACCATCCAGACATGAAACTACCACTCAGATCAGCATCCACATGGGGATGCCTGTAATACTGAGGAGCTACACAGAACTCTAAGTAGCCCAGCTATTGCTACTGTGTTCTAGGGCTCTCAACCAAAATACTATTTTCACATTTGCTGGTAAATTTCAACTCAGATGCAACTGAAAGGTGACACTGGTGTTTTTTTCCTCCCCAAATGTAATAGTATTGCCATATGAGTAACTAAAAAGGCATGGCTGCAGAAGTGGGGCATAAAGCTAACAAAACTTTCTGAAGAGAAGATCATTCTGAGAGCACAGACTGCACAAGGTTTTCAAGACTCACATGCACACTCAGCTTTAAACTTGTGGCTGGGCTCAGGTCAACACAACTCCACAGCTGTGATCAGAACTGTTTCAGGCCCACCTTCACATACGTTTCTCACATAAAGAAAATAATCTAGAAGTCATTTTAATATAAAATGTTTTTATTTTTGAAAACATTTAAAAAACAATTTTTGAGCACTTTCAATAAAAAAAATAACTGAAATGCTACTGCAATATTCAACTACTGTAGTTTCAGCAGTACAACAGACAACGAAACACTGCGGGAGAGAGGGAAAACTGGATTTCCTGCATTTAATGAAAATGTAGTACAGGGATTTGTTTTTTCCTTAGGGTGCAGTTAATAAAGCACGGTATAGTACAAGATTATTATATGAACCTTGGATGCACTGCACAAGAAACGCTTTCCTTCTTTTCAGTTCAGAAGTCAGTGCTTATTGCAATTATTTGCAAATTATTTACTTCATGAATTCTTATCATGATAAAATGATGCAAAAATATCTTTCAACACCCGAACAATAAAAAAGAATCCAAAAAAGGAACATATTCAACAATAACTAAGCTGAATTAGTTAACATAAAAAAGTAAGTAACTTGTGAATAACTATGCTCACCTGGTTAACACCGAACCAGCTTCAATACAGCAAAGAATAAAAAAAAGTGGTTACAGGAATATATCTAGTACTGTACAAGATTAAGTCATTAACACTCATGCACATTTTGTGATCATGTATTAACATGGTGAAGCAAACTAAACTTGATTTTTCCTGCTGTAATATTCTCATTTAAGAGAATAAGAAATAGAAATATCTCATTGAGATCAATGCACATTGCTACATAAGACAATTTCACCTGTCACTTTTAATGACATTTTGCCTTTTAATGATGAAACACATTAGATTTTTTTCCGTTTTATTTTTTGTGGGTTTTTTTGTTTATTTATTATTTTATTTAAATCTGTTGGCCGTATTTGTTGCATTTATCCTAAGGAACGTGCCTGCCACAGGTTCAACAGAATATTAGTGCAATACATGAACCCAGATAGTTTGCTGGACTAACCAACCAATTTTAAAGTGTTTGCTGCAATACTGTACACAGTGTACAAGTTCACTAGTTTGTATATTTTAGCAAAAACTGCTATCAAAAGTATCTATCGTCTTATTTGGAAGCCAATTATGTAAACAAGGGGTCAGAACTGTCTCATCTTCTTTGTTCTGGAGTATCTGACAGACAGGCTTCCATTTGCTAAGATAATGGAATCTTCCTTTGGGTATTGCATACTTTGGTGTGCAGACGTGCTCTGTCTCAACGTAAAGAACTAACAAGCACTAAATACAGGGACCTCATAGAATATCAGTTATAACACCAACACAAAAACACTGCTAAAAGGACACATACCAATGTACAAAGCCGTGTCTGTGCCTTGGATTTCACTTGAAAGAACCCTTACCGAATAGAACACTTCTTCAATTAAACATAAATTTGCTTTAAATCCACTGATCACTGAATATTCCTGCTAATCAAATCACTTGTTAGGTTCAAAGTAATGCTTGTATTTAAAACCATGTAAAAGGTACTTTAAAAACCTTTGGTGACGGCTGCATAATTTAGAGAGCATCAGCTTCAAATCTACTCTTGTTTTAGTGAGAAATGTTCTGAAAAACTAGTGAAAAAAGTTAGGTGAGAACTTGTTTACACCAAGCCCACGTCAGTCTCAGCAACACGGGGGCCAGGCCAGCACATGGTGCAGACTGCCACAGCACAGATGGAGCTCGAGTTCTCCCCCTCCACACTGGAAAGCAGGGTTCACATATTCACCAGCACTTCACACAGGGTCAGAGAAAAGAAGTGCTGAGCGTGTCTCAGACCCAGCCAAGTCAACAAGGCAAGAGGATGGTGAGCCACACCTCTGGCTAAAGGCCGTGGACAGGCATGCAACTCAAGCCCAGCCACTGGCAACTTGTGCCTAAAGGAAAAATGGTTCCAGCCTTACTGTAGACACCTAAAAGAACCCTACTGTGCAGTTTCTAGATTCCTAACCTCTTCCTTAACTAACTTAAAAGGGTGACTTAAACCACACCATTGCATATCCCTATGCTTCAAGGAGCAACCCAAACTCTCCACGTCTTTTCCTAAGCAAAAGCAGCAAAATTTCTGATGCAAGCACAGTGAACTCACGCTCCCTGTAAGGCGCTACAGTTTGTCACAACAGTTTTGCCCCCGAAGAAGCAGCCACAGACCAGTGGTCGATCAGGGCAAGAGCAAGAGAAGGCATGATACACCAGCACCTGAAGTGACAATGCAGCAGCACAATTCAGATCAGCACCGCCAAAAAAATTAATCAGGACTGAGATCAAGTCCTTAGCAAAAACTGAAGAAACAAATGACCACTAAGTCACTTTAAAAAACAGAAATTAAAAACAATAATCTGAGCATCTATTCCTTAGTAAATCTAGGGGGGCTTCTTGTGCCTTCCCATTCATAAATTCATGACCTCTTATTCAAAGGAGGAATGCAAGAGAGGAAAATGTCTTCTGCTCTGCTTTCAGTTTGTCAGTTCACAAGAGAAATAACCAATTTTATACTAAGCTTAAGAGATGGTACTGTAGCATTCTCAGAACAACTATTTCTTAACAGCTTGATTCTGCAAGTCCTCTTTCTAGCATCAGGGCCATGGCTGGTCAAGCACCTCTCTCTTCATCATCAGACTCGTGCCATGCTGATAAAACAAAAGGCCTTTTTTTTTTTTGGTTTAAGTAAACTGGTGAGTTAGAAGTTTAAATTCCATTTTCAAAGGGGGTAGCTAAGGACATGTAACAAAAATTCGATTCATCAGTCCTCTCAAATCATTCAGTGAAAACTGAATTCAGGCTTCTAAAACCAGCAAGCACTTTTAAAATAAATTTTATCCAAAAGGAGATCACATCTATAAAGTGCCTGGCAGTATTATGGCTGTATACAAAATATTTTTAGATCCACCACATTTTATAATATTTTAATCATCTTTTATTTAAAAGAGAGCAAGACAGGCTCAACCTACTGAAATATAGAGGAAAGAACATCTTCCTACACTCTCCACTGTTAGAAAAGAGCAAACTTAAAAACGAATCTTTAAAAATAGTATTTCAATGAGCTCTAGCAGCTCTTTTTTAAAAAAAGAGGGAAGATATCACATCACTTCTCTAGCTTCGATAAATAATTAAATAGTACCTATCATTTTAAAATAAGGTGTTATGCCTAGATTAAACCTCAGCGCTAAAATCTTTTCTCAGCAATTTTGCCTGATATAAAAGCACTGAAGTGAGAACTAAAGCATCAAGTACAACGTCAGAAACATTAATGGACAAAATAACCACACAGATCTCTTTCTCTTAAATAAAAAATTAGTGCACCTTTCTTTTTCCTTGATCACGCCCGTTTCCTGTCATTTTTTCTATCTCTGCGTCTCTCTAGAGATACAAATGGCACCAGTTCACCACCAGGCAGTACTCACCATAGCTACACAGTGATCAGGCACCTGTGCTGCGTGCCCCCTGGTTCACTTGTATCCACTGCCCATCCCCTACACACCTGCAGGCACCCTGCATTTCAGACAGAGGTCAGTATGAATCACATACTTAGAAGAAACGAGCAATACTTAGTATGGAAAGCCTACCTATGAGCTCAACCCAAAACCCCCCCGCTGCCTCAACCAGAGCTCTTGTTGCTAGCTATTAACCACTTCTTTACTACAACAAGAAATGCTGAATGGGAAACACTATCAAATTTAAAAAAGCAATACTGGCTCTTTGACAGCCCAATCACCTTCAGAGATTTGTTTTGAAATTGGTAAGACTGCCCTTTCTCTGCTGAAGAATGAGCAACTGGTACAGCAAACTTTTTTTTTTGTTTTAAATGCCACAATACATAGCAAGTGTTTCTGCTGCAGGAGGCACTTCCATTAAGACAAATACGATACGTCTGTCTTTCACATACAGTGTGCTACATACATACTATAAAACAATATTAACCCAACATTTCAACAGCAGGATGATCCTTGCTCTCCATCCACTCAAAACCTGATGTATTAATTGAGTTCATGGATTCATTGCAGATTTGTTGAAACAAGGGGTCATTTTTTAACTCCTCCAGTGTAGCATCATCGTCTTGTCCCTGCTGACGACCTGGATCAAACAGTAGATTTGTGTCTAAAGTGTTCAGATCGTTAATGCTGCCTGAGAGTTCGGAAGACAACCTGATGTCGCTGGAAAAGACAGATGTAACGCTGAGATCTGATGCCACCTGATTCACCAGCTGCTGGTTTGTTGGCAGACTGTCCTCCCCTAAAAGGTCTTTTACAGTGCTGCTAAAATCTAATTGCTGTTCTCCGATGTCTGATTGTGCTTGGTTATCTCCAGAAGAAAAACTGATCTGATCGGTGCTGCTTTTAGTGAGGTAATTTGGTGTTTGGAATTCATAAATTGAAGTGCTGGAATTGATCATATTTTGCGGGTTGGCACTAGGAAAAGCAGTGGACGTCTCTAAAATCTGAGTGAGATTCATCCTGGCCGTGTAGTTTGAGGGCATGTTGTTCATTCCCAAACCCCTCACCGCATCATCGCTATCAGAATCGAGTTTGTTTAACAACACATTGGTTATTTTTTTAGCGTTTGTTTGTTTCTGAAGAGATGGGAAGGCCGTCTGCATCATCACAGTCAATGGGACCGACTGGCTTCTCTGCGCTATATTATTGGCATTAGTGTCTGCATGGATATTAGTAAATACATTGTGAACTTCAGGAGTCACTGGACTTCCAAAAGGCGCCAGGTTGGAGCGCGGTATGTTGGAAACGGGGTAAACGGTGCTGCCACTGAGATTGCGCTGACGGTGGACAGCAGGGCTCACGCTCCGGCATCTCAGGCTGTTATTGAGAGAGGAACTGACTCCTTTGTTGTCCAGAGGAGCAGGAACTGCAAAGCCCTCCTGCTTGGTGGCGCTACTTACGGGAGCTGCCTGATGCTGCACAGGTGAAACAGGAGTCACACGACCAAAGTGAGTGTCGTGGTGGCGTGGCTGAGATTGGTACGACTGGCCAGGAACTGCAAAAGCATGAGGTTTCCTGAAGCGATCCTCCACTAGCTCCTGGTAGCTTGTAAGGATGCCGTGGTTTGCAACCGACGAATTGCTAACGCCGCTGTACCCGTTATTCATCCACTCAAGTTTGGTTTTGTCAGGGTGGGTAGCCATAGGCCGCTGCATTGGCTTCACAGGGCTGCTTGAAACAATGCTGGCATCGTGGTAAGCCATACTGGAGCTTATGGGAGTAAATGCAAATGGGTTTCGGCATTCCACAGGACTCGGAGGAACACTACTGCTGCAGTTTGAATGTGGTGTGCCAATGGGAGTGTGCCGGCTGCTTCCCAGAGCACTGTCCACAGGAGTCGTCTGAGCCAGCCTGGAACAGGGGCTCTCGCGTGACACGTTCTGAGATCCAGCAATCATTTCAGAGGTGGGCGTTGGAGTCGGGGTAGGGGTGGGAGTCGGGGTAGGGGTGGGAGTGGGAGTATGAATCGGAGTGCTGTTATGGATCGAATGGTAAAAATGCGTGCTGCTCGGGTGCGATGACACAGGAGCTCCTTGAGCTGCTGTCTGACTCTGAAGTGCCATTCCTAGACAGCCACCGTAAGCATGAGAATTATTCATTGACATCTGCTCCTCCATGAGCACCAGCTCCTCCACAATGCTGTCCTGGGTTAGGTCATCATCAAATGAAAAGAAGTTTTCATTTGACTGAGGGACTGTATGTTCAAATTCTTTCAGCTCAGACTGCAGAGGTAACTGATTTGAAGATTGTGCTTGTATTTGACCCAAGGAAGAGTCCTGGATCTGGCTCTGTAACTGCTGGTTGTACACATCCTGCTGTATACCCTCACAGTGCACTGGCTCCCATGCAGTCTCCTGTAAGTCACTAGAGCCAGAGTGTCCCGCAATAGTCATAACACTGATATCTTGCTGCTGTTCACAATTCACAGATGCAAAATCAGAAGTTTTGGTGATATGGTGCCACGCGTTTGGGTTAAAGCTGCCATCAGATTTTGAATCACTTTCTATAATAAACATGTTTCCTTCCAATTTCACTTTTATATCTGGAGATGATGCTGATGCAAGCTGCTGTTCTAAAGTAGAATCACTGGTATTTAAATCAGTGCTCAAAGAACAGTCTGTCACTAAGTCTGCTGGAGCTGCAGAAGGTACAGGTACATTTACAGGTACCTTGCTGGAAACTTGAACAAGTGTGGTACTGTCACTGTTAGCTAATGATACAACCTTTGGAACCTTCGTAACACTGTCTGCTTTCGGACTCTCCTCAGCATTACCAGCTGAAAGCTGCCCCACCAGTGGTTTCTTGACAGGTGGTACCTGGGAATCCTGAAGCGTAGAGGGCTGTCTCTTTCTTGGACTTTTAGTGCACATTTTGTCTTTAATTGAAGACTCACCAGTAGGAAGTGAATCAATGCTGGTGCTGGACAAGTTGTGACTGGCAACAGAGAGCTTTAGAGTGCTTTGATTATTGCCTGCTGAAGAAACCGGTGTGATCTCATTGGACTGCATCTTGTATTTGGTCCCTGCTTCTTCAGCTCCCTGATCACAGCCCTTAACTGGTTTTGCCTCCACGACACCATCAGCTGAAACCTTCACAGTTGCAACCTCAAAATTAATCTGTTGAGCAGGAGGCAGGTCAGGGGTTGCCTTTATGGATTTAGATGTGTCAGAGCTCTCCTGGCCCTGTACTGGGTTCTCATCCAGCAGTCCTTCTGGTTCCATTTTGATCTCAACTGCAGATGCAGCTACAACAGTGCTAGGCTTGGATCCTGGAGACTGAAGTGAAACAACAGAACCATTTTTGATCTGTGGAGTAGTCCTCCCTTCTTCCACTGCTCCTGCACTACTATTAACTGAAGGCGTCTGTTTGACGGGCACGCTGCTGCTGCTGGGGGCCAGAGATATTGCTGTCATTTTTACCACATTTAAGGAATTCACGTGTGGAGCTGGCACAACAGTCTTGATTGGGCTACTGGTAAAAAGCACCGTTGTGGGAGAGCGGATGGTGAGAGCACTGGTATTTGCTGGCTTCGGTAAGATCTGTGGGTAGCGATGTCGGGCAGAGCGGTCACCAACTGGGCTGGCAGGAACGTTCTGGGGAGTCTTTGGTGACTGCTTGACTGATTGCATGTGCTGAGTGACCACCTGAACATTGAGTGGCAGGACCTTGTTGTCAGATGATCCCATAGGACTTGGAGATGTCACCAACTGCCTGGTCCTTGGCACCTGTTTAGAGAGAAAAAGAAATGGTGTGGCAATGAAGCAAGGAAGTCCTGAAAATCCACACACCACTCCACGCGTTTCAAAGATTAAGGACAACACAACTCAACACACCAAAGTCTGTACACCAGCAAATGTCATTTCAAAACAAAGCAAGCTCTCTGACTGCATGCAAGACAAGTGATATGTTTGCCTACAGCTGGTAGATATCAGGATTCCATTTTTAAGGTAGGCCTTTAAGGCACCGGTCTACACATTACTCTGCTCTTCTACTAATGAAAGTGTTATTCTCATGTAGTTCTTCACTAAGTGGAACCAAAGACAGAAATACAAAGGATAAACAGAGGATGTGTTCAAAACTACTGATTTATATATTTATGTATGTATTAATAGCCTTTATCTACTGAAATAAACAATACAGCTAATGTCCTAAGAACAAATAACCTTCCTCCCAGTCTTGTTTTCTGTGTTTAAAAGACAAGGCAGTCCCACACTACGAATTCCACGCAAAATTAAAATTGTTGCTGTCACTAAATCCACCAGACCAATGCAAATCAATTTGGATTCTAAATGAGATGGCTCAGTGACCCACATGACCTGTAGACTTTCCCATCTGGTTAAATTCATCTCAAGAGTAATTATTCCTACATGATCTAAATTACTGCTAGCTGAAATTCCTCTGTCGTTGACTTCGAAGATGAACTTGGCCAATACGATGTGATCAGAATTCTGCTGCCTCTTATTCCTAATTCAGTCATACTGTTATACCAGTCACTGAGACAGAAAAGAACCAAGGGATTCAAATCTGAACAGAAACCATATTTTCATCCCACTGACACCACTGCTTAGCTAGGGCCCATTTTCAGTCCTTTCCTAAGTTGATTTCTCAAGAGAACTGCTGGAGAATTACCGGTATTGGGCTGGGGACAGCTGCCACAACAATGCCAATAGGCTGAGGAGACAGAATTGCAGGACTTCCATTAGATATACTAGTTACACCATTGGTTGTGGTGCCTTCTGTTTTCTTGGCTGGAGACTCTCCTGGCAAAGGAGACTGCAGTTTCTGTTCTTGCTGCTTCTTCTGGATCTTACGCTGCAGCTGCTGCTTGGCATCAACAGGAGATGACAGAGTTTTCACTTGTGGTTGAAAGGAATTGCTTTCAGCAGTAGGTATAAAAGCTGAGGGCTGGGGGATCCCTTTTATTCCTGAATATAAAAGAAGAAGAATTAATTATAACAACATATTCCCTGTCTGCTGTAGTGCCACATCTGTATCCAGCTGCACAGACACATGGCAGGCATTTCTACAACCATTCAGTAAACATCTCACCCATGAGAGCATCTCATACTCAGCTCTCCTCAGTGTTTCAGTTTCTTTCCACGTTTGAGGCAAAGTCTCTCTCTGTTAAGCAAGTTGCATGCTGCTAAGTACTGGCATCTTGTTTCTAGTAATCCCAAACAACTTTTGTTTCAGCAAAATCTAAAACCAATGCATTTCATTTAACTGACAGTAGAGGGCAGTGGATACGTTTCAGATGAACCTTTAAAATTCATCATCTACCACGTTTTTGTTTTGCTATCTGCACTGAAAGCAGTTTTAAAATATTTCCAGAAAGCCTTTGTGTCACGAAGGAGCAGCTCTGAAAAGATGATATCTGCATCTAATGCCAGAATGGATCACATGCAGTCTGTGAACAGTGAAAGAAGAAGAGAAGTGACAAGGGAGAAAAACAATTAATCGGAACCATTTTAAGGGCAATTATTTGTGTTTAGATACCCAGTATGTGTTCAGCAACTGTCTTCTGGTAGTCCACCCTCCCAGCAGCAGCCTGCTTGTACCAAGAGAGCCTGAACACTGCAACATCTCCACTTTATGCTTTCAATTCCTTCTTCACAGAGCAGTGAAATGCCCCAGTGTATTGCAATTACTGGCAAATAAGTGACCTATGTGGGCTGAATATTGAATTAAAATATTTAAAAAAAAAAAAAGAAAAAAACCCACAGCCTTACATTTGAGATTAAAAACTTTTTTTTTTTTTTTTCCCCACAGCTAATAGACAATGTAGTTCTTGCAATAATGAGGAATGCAAATATCTTATTTGCCATTCTAGACCATAGAACCTCTCCTGAAATGACTGCCCACAACGCACTCCAAGCCCCCCAGGGATTCACTGGAAATAACTGCCCACTTCCTGGAAGCACCAGCTTCTTCTGAAGGAGTAAAGGGAGGGAAGCTACATGAGTCAGAGAGCTATACGTATATCCAGATTTCCTCCTGGCAGCCAAAGAAGAAAAGCAATGACAATCAAGAACTGTCACCATCACCTGTCAGTTCCAAGCTGGAAAAAAAAAAAAATCATAAGGAGGAAGAAAATGATCCAGCATGATCCAATCTTCAGCCCTGGCCATCAGTCTCCATTTGAAGTTCCAGTCTCAAGCCAATAGATTTGCCTTGGTTCAAACACATTTTCCTAAATAGGCCTGAGCAGAACTCCTCTGAGGGAAATTGGAGTAAGATGTCGTACATGTGAATTTTCCTATTTTTCACACACACACAAAATATCTATAAGTGATTAAATAACTAATTCTGAGAATGATGGGAATGTAAAAGTAGATGTAAAAATGACATCACGTGCAAGCTGTTTCAGAGACTGAACACAACAGGTATTCCTCTGATGTAGCAAATAAACCCCTCTCTTTACCTTGAAGTGCTGGAATCTGTCACACAACTGACTGCAGAAGGCCCTTCTTTCTCAGAGGGGTTCTCAGAGCCCATCAAACCCTTACTTTTAAGATGAAGATTTTAAACAAACACTGATGTGGTGGTGTTACTGCCTGACACAGATCAAACATTTCAGGAAAATTTGCATCTAACATGCCAGAAATGCTGGTAGGAAAACCTGCTCTAGAGAAAACGGAAACAGAAAATTGTTTCCAGATTAAGACAAGCTATCAGAGAAACACAGCTACATCAGCACCATGACTACAAAGCCCCACTGTACTGGCCCCAAAACCCAGATGAAGTGCACAACTCAGTACAATTACTCACATACTGAAAACTAGCAATTCCTTTGAGTGCTTTATAATAACCACGTCCTCAACAGAGGAATTGGAGAAAACCACAGAATCAGTTTGGGAAGACAGGTTTTTCCATCCAATTTCCACATGCAATTACTGCAGGCTGTCTCCCAGGAGTCACCGGTCAGCTACTGACACTGCATTGCACACACCTTCCTGCCTTTGGTGCAGCAGATGCTGATAGGAACGGGACAGAATGGACTAGAAAACCCAAATTCTGACTGCTTACACTACAGATTAACTCCTACTTTTCGTTACCTCAGAGAACATAAGCTAGAAAACTGATTTGAACAAGAACACTCAGATTCATTTCATTAATTATTTACTTGACATAGGATTTCTTGCTTCAATTTCTCTGTTGCTAAGGTGTTTACTCAACTGTAAGCACTTCTAGAGAAGTAATCGGGTTTCCAAAGTCTTCCAAGTGACCAGATCCCAGATAACCTATGGTTCAGACTGACTGTTGTTATATCGTCACTTCAAGGCCAGATGAGACCTCCCCTCCCTCAGGTAGTGAGCAGTTCTCAAGAAACACAATTCTGTTTTGTAAGGCATTCATACCCCCAGTCTTTAAAACAAGACTATTAATGTGAATCTAAACGGCAGCAAAGTCTGTCAGACAGATGACAGTGACACAAAGTAAATCTCAGAGCATGAAAGGCTAACATCACAAAATAAACCTGAAACCATTCTTTCTTTTCACATCTCTCTATGCAGACTACCAGCAATGTGGATGGAAATAATTGAAATGCATCTGCAAGACTCAACTGGTGTCATTGTTTAAGGTCTGCCCTGAAAAGAAATGTTTCTTCAGAGATATTACTGACGCAGTCAACAAAGGACTAAGCCATCATTCCTCACTTCAGCTAACACTCATGGGAGAGGACAAGAACAACATGACCTGAACCAGGATGCATTCCCACTCAGAGCAGGGAAGACAACGTGCATCAATCCCTAACTGTCCAGGACTGCCCAGCCACCTCTCTACTCTTGCCACACCAGGTAAGACTAAAAGAAGTCCCTCCCACTCACACTATGCTACTCCAAGGAAAGACATTCGCACTGATTCAGAACTCATTACCTGCTGGTGCCCCTGCCATTACAGTTAAAGCTGCCATTGACTTGGTACCGATGTAGTGACTTTTGACAAGGAAACGAGCCAGTTCCAAGACTGTATCAAAAGGCTGGCTGAGCACTTTCTGGGCCCACTCACAAACAAGCCGGCAGGCTGCAGAGACAACTTCCTCATCAGCACTTTGTAGCTGTCCAGATGGCTCTGTCCCATCCAACTAAAACAAACAAAGAAGGTTACTTCAGTAATTGAACGTTACTGAAGAGCGAAAACAAGAAGAATACAGAGCAAATGATGATGAGAAACATGCAAGTAATTATGTTCACGTACTTCCATGAAACTGGGAAAACAAGATCACAACATCAGCAGTGTTAAAAATGAAGCATTATTGCTTGTTTCCAAAGGTGCTTTATGGAGCTGACTTTTCCAGAAAAAAATGAGTGAAAATACTAACATTCAGAGCACCTGCAGCTGATTCTCCCTACATCCATTGTTTTATCAACTCAGCAGTCATTTACACAGGAACTGCTTCTTTCACAGGAGCTCCTCGATGTTGAATTATTATTTTAAATATACAGTAAAACCAAAACAGAGTCAGAGTTAAAAACCATAGCATTAGCTTTCTCTATGAATTTGACAGAATCACCAAACAATAATTCAGAAGCTGAGCACTGTAAAGAAAACGTTAAGAACTACACAGCTTTTCAATTTGCTTTAAAAACTTCAGATTGTAAAAATAACATAATAAATGTTAATTTGTACAAACACGTACGAATAAGCAAATATATACCATACCCCATCTCCAGTTTTATGAAAGTCAAGGTTGGGCAGTGTTGGCATATGCACGAAAGCCTTCTTCCTCAGACCACTGTAGCAATATGTGATCAAGAATTAAGGTCTACATGATTTCAGCTTAGCTGGGGATAGGGAGTTAGAGCAGTAATTCTTCCAATACTTCTCACCTGGAAACTCACCAAAAGATCTCAATTTTGTGCCACTAGTGCTATAAAGCTGGCTTTTTTCCACAGCATATGCTTTGACTTCTTAATTCTGGCTGCCTATTAGCTGATAGGCTAATTCATCCCAGCATGTAATCGTGTATTGCTCCACCTTCACAACACGTTTACCTACACTATGACACCATCAAATTTCTGGGTACTTCAGGCTTTCTAGTAAGTTACAGCTGAACAGGTACTATTTCTGCATTTCAGCCCTCTGGGATGGACTATTTCTCTACCACGGGTAAGAAAGAAAGGAAGATTTCAAGCTCAGGCACAGGCAACAAGACTGCAGTCAATGGAGAGAGGAGGCACTTCCCATCCTAGAAGCTCTTGCTCTAAACAGTCCTTCCTATTTCAGGAGGTCTGCTCCACGCAATGAAGAAAACAGTCTCTCCCACTGGCAGGACAACTCACAGGTAAGTGCCTTCCAAGTCTGAAATCAGCTTTTTTGGCTGTTTCCCAGTTGTCCTCTACTCTCCTTCAAACCATGGATTGAGGAGGTGTAGTTTTATCAAAGATCTATAGAACTTCTTAAAGATCTTTGACTTTACAGCCAACTTTTAAATCACTGGTAAGCACAAGTATAATGCAATGAGAGCAGAAACATTTTGATAATTGTGAATTCTACTAATAAAGTATCAGTTACTGCGTATATGTGAGGCAAGTTCTTTTACTCCAATATCCCTCTTTACTCAAATTGATACGACTCCTCGGGTTCCTTGCTGCTCTGACAATTAAGCATTAAAACCCAGAAAGACAGCATAACCTATATTTACCTTCCAACTTAATGCTATATGATTAACAATTTTGTAAGAATTTTGGGAAAGCGTCTGCACTTTTTTTATTTAACACTGCTTCTACATTTGGCTGCTAATTAAGCCATAATGGCTGATGTTCTCCAGGCAAATGCAGAAGTTACTGAGAAGTGTTCTAGCAAAGGATATTTTGATTTGCCTCTTGTGCCTAGACGACGAGCCTTCATATTCGGAAAGACATTTTTCATTATCTTTCCAAAGTCAGCAGCACTTAATGGGTGGTAGCCAAGATTGTCACAATAGCTCCTGCAACAAAGAGAAATAAAACGTGAATGGGAGCAAAGTTAATGCAATAGGCCAGTCTACATCTTAGACTCCATCAAAGGTTATCAAAAGAAAACACTCAAACCCGTCCATATTTAGAATCACATATAACATTAATGAAGCTATCCACAACGAACTGAATACATTAAAAATGTATACACAGAGCTATTAATACCATAGCTTTTTGCCTTGTTCTCTACTGAGTTCAAAGACAAGTCATGTGAAGATTTAACAAGTAGTGGCACTAACTAGAGCACAGTTAAAATATACTCCATAACTTAGTCTCAAGTTTATGCTTCAATTCACTTATTTTAGGACACAATAAAGGCAGTGACATTCCCTAGCCAGAAGTATGGCTTGGGTGTGGTAAGGCCTGAAGTCCTGCAGGAATATTTGGTCAGCAATTTGTCTGTGTCCAGACGAAGATTCTGCATACACAGCTGCATCTTAATAGAGCTCAATTGAACTGAATTTAATGCAGCGTATCTCCCCATAGAACCAGCTTCGTCTTTATAGGGCTAACAGAAACATGTACTGAGGAGTCAGTCCTCTTACCACTGTACATGCAACTATCTGCCCACATCGAATTGTAAGGTCTGTTTACAGGCACCCTTATTTTAACTAACAGCCCGGAATTAACAGATTTCAACTGCCTCTGCGTGTGTAGATGTGTTTATCTTCATATAACTCAGTATACCAACCTGGTAACAGGAAAAAAAAAGGCAACAAAAGACCTCATTTTGCTAAATTCACTGTTCTAATAAAATGGGCATCATTATTGGTCTAACACTCAAAAACAGCAGCAGTTTTGTTTCAACATCTATTCATCTTTTTCAGTGCCTGAGATGCTTAAAAAGAATATATCTCTCCTTTAGGCGGAGAACAAGGATCGTTCATCTCACTGCAAAACGTGAACGTTCTTGAAAAATCACAATCATATGAAAGCAGAAGAGAAGAATGTAAACTGCTCTGGAAGGTTTATCTACATAGCAAATGCTTAAGGCTGCCCAAATATATGAACACAATTACATATTGACTTTTGTTCCAAGTGCTTTGTGGTATTTCACAGCTGTTAGCATGCTCGGGCCCAAAAACATACAGTAAAAACATTCTCATTCAGGCTTCCAGTCAGAATCAGCACCATAGCAATGACCTCTTTTCCTTGAGAGGTCCTGAAAGAAATACACAAAACCAACCTATCTCTGAAAAAGAGGAGGTGATTGTATACAGTTCTGTGTGGACACCACAGCAAGACAGAGGGAAAACAATCACTTCGTACAGCACACTGCCCACTACAGTGAGTGGGATGCATATTGGCAAATGTGTCACTGCTCATCAAGGAAGAATGAACAGAAGGAAAAACACGATTCCTGAAATAGAAGTTTCACTCCCAGCATCACCTGGCAAAAACAGTAAAGATTAGCAAAGGCATTTGCATCTAAGAAGGCCAGATGAAAGGTCTTCACTGAAAACTGTAGCAGTACAGAAAGTAGGATATAGTTTTGAGGCACTTCCTCTATGCAAATACTGGAGCATATCTTCTGCTTTCACCTTGGCTGTATGTAGGTATCTTCCATTTGGGAAACACCACCACAAATGCCATGATTTTGTTGATGAACAGCAATGCTTACACTATTTGCTTCTAACATTACCTTACAGAGCTTGTGCACCCCTCACTCTCCCCAGCTCTGCCCAAAACAAAGGCTGCCTGCACCCCTGTACAGACAGCTGTGAGCCACGAGACACAGCAACCCAGACTTTTGTTCCTCCCTCCAAAATGCAAAAGCAAACGCAGTGTAGCTCAGATGGTAACTTCCCCCAGCCTTCACAACAACAGTGACAGACCACAGGAAAAGGAGCTGTCAGGGGCTGTGAAAGCTCCACCCTTGGAGCATCAGAGACAAATCTGAGTGGGAAGGGTGCTTGGTAGGACTTCAAACACCAGCCCAAGGCAGGCTCAGTAAAGCAGGCTACTCAAGGCTTTTGCCCAGGCAGGTTCAGAAAACAGGTAAAAGATGTTTCATGTCACCTTTGGGCTGCTCTTCTAATATTTGATTTTCCTCATTCATAAATTATCTGAATAAGGCCCCCTGGAACACCATGAAATGTCAGTGTCAAACCCCACTTTCATTGAGGGGCTGGATCAGGTAACTCCAGAAGTCTCCTCCAACCAGTTCAAGTTTCTGTATCAGATACCAGGAAAATATGTACCCAGTATTCATTTCAGTGCATACAAGCATGCATCTGGATTCCAGATTTGTTTCTTTGAAATTAATACAAAGAAATACTTCTCCTGCTTTCCTGCACCTTCTTAGGAATTAAGTCACTGCTTCATACATAGCGATGTCCTAGACAGGTCTCTCTGCTTTTTTTTTGTTAAATCTTGCATTTCACCAAGCTCCGCTGGATTTTAAGTTTCCCCTGAAAATTCCTAAAAGGCAGGTCCTTGTCACTTACTGATGCTGATTACAGGCCCTGTAGTCTCAATTACCACGGAAAGGAGGGCTCTCCAAACTCCTCTGCTGGAGTCAGCAGTATCTTTGACTGAAATTCGCCAACGTCAGCAAAACAAAACCTTAATCGTGTTGGTTTGCTACCAATCAATGAACTTTAAAGTTAAAATTATTCCCTCTCCACGAAAATAAAAAAGTAAATAGTTCCTCAAGTGAAGCACATCTGTTTCAAGACAATTACTTGCTAGCAGCAATAAACATACAGTTATATGGTCCCCTTGTATCCCTATTTGCAGTTTCTGCAAGACCGTGATTTCTGAACTATTATTATCATGTAATTTCAGCTTTCAGACAGATCATTCCACATGGCCCCTCCTCCTCCTGCCTTGGCTGAGAATCCTACATGTCCATCTGTGATCTCTCATTGACTTGAGAGCAGGAGTTTCTTCCTCCCCTGAAGCTCTTATCTCTGCCACTTGCACTCCTGCACATCACCGAGCCCAGGAGCAGCTGTGCTTATTTCAAGGGTGGGTGGGAAAGAAATCCAGGATGGGCAGTCTACACAGAGCCCAGAATGACAACGGACACAACTGCCTGTGCTCCTTTGTACAGAGCTCCCCAACACAGCATGCTGGACAAGAAAAGTCCCTTTTTTTGGTAAGATTTTGAAATTAAATGTACTCTAGACATAAAATACAGTGGGAGTGCACTTAAATTAATCCTCCAAAAAGATCAACCAACTAAAAGCCAATGAAGACAATCAGACTACGCAACTCAGCTTAATTAGCACTCTGGGCAAAGAACTGGATAAAATGGCGATAACAGACTACCCTGAAACAGAAGGGCCACAGCAAGTCTGTACACACAGCCATTCAAAAACAGCCTTGAAAAGAAGTGGCATAATCACCTAATTCTGTAATATTTGGAGGTATCACTAAAACCAAGTGACTGGGGTGTTACAAGGAAAACGGAATGACTTGATACAAGAACAAAAAAAGGTGAAATAGTTCAAAATGCAAAACAGTGCACAAGAATTAATAGGTGCTACTGCTGTGAGGTATGCACTCATCAACTAGAGGTGGCAAAAGATAAAATGGATCTGTTAGCCATCTTGTTACTATTTACAACATAGCCATCACAGCTGATAACAAGGAGGATGCAATTTTACAGTAAAAACAGCAGCATTATGTGAAGGGAGTTTCAGTCTTGCTGTACGTACAGCCAAAATCACACAGAGTATTGTACAGACTTTACTACTCTGTTAGTTCTGAGTTCAATACAAGATAGGTGCAAAATCATTATGAGTAGTAACTAAAAGAGAACCTATTGCATGAAACAAAATAAAGATCTTTGCTTATCCAATCCACAAAAACAACTGGTTTCTAATAAACGGGTTGGAAGAAAGAACTTTAGGAAGAGGTAGGCTCTCTTTAGGCTGATGAACAAAGCTGGCACAGAAGAAAGTTCTAGAAAATCAGGTAGGATGGAAAAGACGTCTGAAAACCAAAGAAACAGAACACATCAGATTCCTAAGAGTAGTAAGAGAGCTGGGAAACTACTGCTTTAGATGGAGTTTGATCAGCCCCATCCTTTAGAAGGAGTACATAGGTAGCTGTCCATGGCAGAAGACTCAAAAACACAATAGGTTCCATCCTGTTCCTATCAGGGAGCTTTATTCAATGTCAGTTAAAAGCATCTCGTGTCTTTCATTTGTTTAATCTACATAGTAACTGTACACCTACTTCCCTCTTCTGTTCTGGCTTCTGAATATTCTAACTCGTTAGCAATCTTAACACCCAGTACACATACAACCTATGCATCAGGTGGCATCAAGCAGCCCAACAGCCTACTGGCTGGATTAATGCTTTACATTAAAAGGCAAGGATTAATGATTTACAGACCAGATGAAAGAGATGGAGGCTCACTCTGAGATCTCTTCATCAGTATTACGTGTATGAAGTCAATCTTTAGGACACCAAATATGGACAATATGACTTCCTTTCCTTGTGTCACTTGCAGCAGCAGCAGTGTGGGTAGATCCAGGTGCTTACTCAAGACTCAAAAAATCATTTTGTGGAAAAACAAGCATTTTTTTTCTGCGTAATCTTAATTCTCTAAACTCAACTAACTCCACATCTAGGAGCTTCCAGAAGGGTGTTCACTAATAGGAAAGATGCCGAAGATATCAAAGTAAAACTGACTTAGAAGAAAATGCTGAAAAGATTTTGCGGGAAGCAGTACCTATTCTCTGCAGACTATATAACATGGTAAGCAGCTCATCATGAGTCCCCATAATATTTTCCAGATGGTATTCCCCATCACTCCCAAAGGAAGCTGGCAGAAGTACCACACATGTCCAACAGAAACACAGCTTCTTACAGCACAGCATATCATAGTGCCAACAAGAGAGGTGAAACACCTTTCATTTACCTCCTTCCTGAAATTCAGTTGCAAGTTTTCAACCTTCCCATGGACTTATGATGCATTTCTCATTTATTTTACCCCTTTCAAGAAGTCAACGTACCCATTCGCTTTTACTTAGAGATGTGAAACTGCAGTTAAAGAGTAAGGAAACAGAAAGAAGGATCATTGTATTGAACTAGTTCAGAGACAAAGGGCTAATGAAATATGAAGAAGCTGGAAATGCTACTGACACTTGCCAATGCTTGATACATAGAGAAGAAGCTTCTATTTTTCCTCTCTGCATAGAAATAAACACAAAGGTAATGGAGAAGATCAGTATTTTTCTAACATCAATTTTGTTCAAAATTTACAGCAGGACTTGAGATGCTGTTATGATGCAGCAATCTTTTGAAGCCTTGCAACTTTGGTTTATGTATCCAGAATGTGAGCTCATGCAACATCTATATTTGCACAGGGAGGAGAGAAACTGTAAATAGTAAATAAGACAGAAGTAAAATTTGAGAGGATTTAACATCCCTAGATAAACAAAAATGATTTATCAAAACTAACTCATCTATTTATGTGCCTTGTTCTCCTCTTCCCACAGCAAAGCTATTCTTCCTTTGGTGTGCACAAGAATAGCTCATAAATACACTCACAGAAACAAAATTTTTAAAAATGGAACAGATGCTTTCAAAGGAGAACAGATTCCAAACATTTGATATTTCCCTGAATATTTGCTTACCACCCTTATTTTGTCAGGAAAAAAACCCACAGTACACAAATACTCGATACAGCTATATACAAAAGCCATCCAAATTTCACTCGAAAAATCTGTAGACGATAATTTTCCCGGGCATCTGCAGCTTGGCACAACATGGAAGCCAAGCAGACAATAAATTATTAAATAAGAAATATATTTAAGAATAACGCTTCCATTTCTCTCCTGCACAGCAGCTGCCGCTGTTGCTGAGTCTGTGTGAGCAGCTCCTGCTCGGGGATTGGCTGCCCTGACACATCTGTGCTATTGGCCACGCTTCCGGGCTGCGTCACTATTCAAGTCAATAGTGAGATTTCAGAAATAGGTGTGTGCATGTTTATCAACCCCAGGCAAGCTAATGCCATCGTGCTTCTGCTCAGTCAGAAGACAGACAAAAACAACCTCCACCAGAGAGAGTTAATTGAGGTATTCGCATAATGCAACGCTGCAATAGCAACTAAGGGCTGAATCCTGCAGGCATTTGTGAGGAAAAGGGAGTCAGCTCCTTGCAAATTATTGTCATCACCTAGATCATGGAATTATTCATACTAGATCATAGATCTGTTATTCATCTTAAGGCATTTGGGATTTTTTCCCCTGTGGGGAATATTCTCTAAATGAATTCAAATCCAACTTCCATCAAGCATCTCGCCCTCCCTTGCTTCTAATTGCTTTCTCATTACACGGTAGCTTTGAGACTTGACAAAACAGACTCACAGTGGCCTTGGTTACTGTTTTCATGCATATTCAGAAATATTGTGCGTCTGTAGAAATCAGGTTTGCTGCAGTAAGTACAGGATTTGCACATTATTCCAGAGAGAAAGGTACGACTGGCTAGATCTTACAACCAAAAATTCCCCTTTCCACTAGGAACAATTCAGCTCTTTATCCTCATTAAGACAGTCACTTACATATATGTGTACGTATAATTGGACTAAAATGTACTGTAAAATATAACTGGTGCTTTTTCCCTGTGCCACTCTGCTCAGAAAGTACAACACACACTCATACAGAAGTTTTCTTGTTAAGGAATACTTGTCTGTTTATTTCAGCACAGGTAATGCACAACTGGAACAGCACAGTCCTATCTTCAGCAGCAGAAAAACTGCATACACCTCACTGCAGCTAGTATGCTCTTAGTTACACAGGTACTGAAGGCCCTGTTCTTCCATGTGCACTTGTAAACGTACAGCAAAGGAGCACCTGTAGTGCCAGGGTAACAGAACGACTTACAACCTGCTAAAGCCATATGTATGAACTCAGTTTAGGAAAACTCACTTGTACTCATCATAAACTTCCTGTTTGGGAAGGGATGTCTCGGGGTGCTCTTCCAAGGTATTCCGTATCCAAGAGAAGGCGTGCATCTGCTGCGCACGGCTGGACGACATGGAGATCTGATCACTATTGAAAGAAGAAACAGCTCTGATGAAGCTTTTACTCTGTAGTTCCTCCTCCGTTACAACTGCCTGCTTACACAAGCAGAGAAGTGCCAGAGACAACAAGAGTCAGAACCTCACTACTCAGCTACCCTGTAAGGCTTTGGAAGGGATACCTCCCTTCTTCCTGTATGATTTAACAAAATAACTCCAGACTCTCTTTCATGACTGATAAACAGCTACACACAGAGAGTGCTGAGCTACAGTGCACCTGCCTCCTCTCTTACATTGTTTCTGCTGACCTCAAAGGTTTTCCCCATTAAGTCTGCTAACTGCTTTTTGCACATACTCAGCAAACAGAGTGCTTCCTGTAGGCATGTGTCTGTCTATAATCACCCTACTGGGAACAGATACAAATTTTATGATGTTGTTATCTTCAGGTTGATTTTCTAGGTCTTCCTTTAATCAAACAAATGCAATAAGAAATACCACTTGTTCTTTTCCCCACCATCCTATATTATCACTTCCTATCTGAAATGTCAAGGAATGATCACACACTGCAAAATATACCCTTCAATGGGCGCCTCATTTTAGGATGTTTATACTTACAAGATATTCAAGAAGTCAAGATTGAAAAACGTGAGGTCTTCAGCAAAAAATAAATTCTTAACATTTGCTAAGGACAGCTTACACTACCAAACACAAAATATAAATGCCTGCCCAGTAGGTAAGTGCACAGAAAGTTAAGTTGACAGTACTAGCTGCTCACCTTTACACACAGCCACATACCTACCTTTTGTCTCCATTGTTGGGACCCGAAGGCAGCTGAAGGTAGAGGTAGAGTTTCTCTAAGTCTGTAAACTTCTCAACTTCTTGCTGGATAACAAAGGTATTTTGGTTAAAAACAAAAGGAGGTGAGGAAAAAAAACAAACAAACAGTAAAAGTGAAGCTTGACAGTTAACAACCGTCATCCAGCACTGTATTCCAAAAGAATGCATTTTTAAACCTGAAGGCTGATACTTACATGAAAAAAAAAAACGTTACTGTGAGAAGTGTGGGTCTAGAACTATGATATTCCATTTCCACACCACTGCGTGTTAGAAAATAATGGTCCACAATACCAGCTCTACAACACTGTTGCAAAACTCATGCAACAAAAGCAAAATTTTGAGGAACTACAGTAACAGAACACTTCTGTAACCCTCCTGCAACCTGAAACCTTTCCTTACCTTCTCAGAGCACACATGAAGCCCTTTTGAGAATACAGCATCAAAAAATAGCTACACTATAACAATGTAGGACATCAGGCCTGATCCTGTGACACACAGCACTCTATCAACAGCTGTGCTGCAAAGTTCAACTAAGATTTTTCAACATACACATTATTTTCTTCCTTCAGATATCAATTACTGCAGAGTTACTGAAGAGAAGCCATTTGGTTACCACGAATCCCCATGATGCTCAACTCCCCCTGCAGAGAAGGCAGCTGAGGGTCAGACACCAGAAGGACTTACAGCTGGTGCTTGCCTTGGGTCATCTAAGATCAGCCTTAGGACCCTGAAATAGCCAGCCTGCCCAGCAGCACTGGGCGTTAAGCCATGCAGTAAGGAGTAAATGGGTTCTCTCTCAGGAAGATGCTGCAGAATCAACACGTGATGTGTTGCACCACCAGTACAGCAGTTAAAATGTTGAGAGGATCCTTTAAGTCCACCTTGTTCCAATGCTCCTCCCAGGGGCAAGGATACCCCCCAATACATCAGGTTACCCAAACTTTGTTGCTTTCAGTTCAAAATGGCAAACACCAGAGAAGCGCAACAAAGGACACGGCTCAGGGGAGATCAGAGCTAAATCCATGCATCCATGTAAAACAAACACAACACCCTGATGACTCTGGAGCAGAGGTGAAAAATGGTTTCTTTCTTCCAAACTGAATGTGCTACACTGCAACAGTTTTGTCCTTTCATCAGAAAATGCAGTAGTTGTCTCAATGCCCACTGAAGCAACTTCTCCTGTCTTCCAGCAGAAGGAAGGGGCTACACACAAGCTCTGTGTGAGCTGCACAGGTACAGCAATACAGGCCCTCTTCTGACAAGCCCCTGGTTCAAACAAGATCCACTATTTATGTGTATAGAAGAAATCTGGCTGGGATTGTTTTAGCAGTCTTTTTCAAAATGTGCCAGCAAACCAGCAACTCATAAGCAAAATCACATCCCAAGAGCTAAGACAGCTGAGGACTTTGGCTTTCTCACTATTCTCAGCAGAGCAAGGCAGACAGTAACACTGTCCCACTGGTTTTTCCTCAAGCTCCCTCTTCTCCACAGGCAGCACCTCCTGCACAACTCCTCCAGCTTTCAGCAATGGCAACACAAAGTCCTGGGGAGACAGGACCTTCTATGGACTGGGGAAAACACAGCCAGGATTCAGAGGAAGCTCATGGAGGTAATCCTACCTGGGTGATAATTAGATGAACCTAAGCTTATTAGATGCGACCAAATCTATTTAGAGAAAACCATCTCAAAGCTGAAGAAGTTGCACCAAAGGGATGGAATGCAACAGCACAAGTTAGGAAACAGCTTCCGGTTAAAAACTTCTAAGCTTCCCATTCTGTTCAGGCTGTTTTCTTGGAACGTTTCTAGAACTCTCAAAACTTTTTTTTTTACAACCTTGGTAAGGACAACTTCCTCTCGAACCTCAGCTGAGATCCACCAGCTCTAAGTGGCAAGGCTCCAGAGAGTTCTGTAGTAACTGCTACTGTGACTGCTCCGGGTATCAAAACTTTCCCATTTCTTAATGCAATCAGAAAGCATTTGGGCAAGCAGAGGAACATTTCAGCCATCCTACTGACTAACAATCTCTGACCTGGGAGGAAGATTCATTCATCCTGAACTTCTCCTTGTCTCGTGTTGATTTACATGAAAATGAATAAAAATAAAGCACAATATAATACAAAATATACTACAAAAATAGGTCAGTGTTATGTTTGGCAGAAATAGTAATTGTGCATTATGTGGAATGGAGTGGAAAAGAGTCAGAGCATTAGAAAGAAGACTGCGGTGCTGGCATCATCTTGGACAAATTCCCCTTTGTGTAGGCACTTAGAGTTTATGCTACGGTACTCTTATAACACATACAGAATGTAAAATGTCTGGGGAATCTCTGTCGACAACTGAAAAGGATCTAAGTAAACTTTTGGCTTGAAGTTACCTGACCTTCATTGACTGGTTCTAATCAAATCAGATGAAGAACATCTCATTCTCCAAAAGTTATTTATAAACCTACTTCTTGGAGCTGCATGAGAAAGATGCACAGGGGTGCTAAACTGGTTGCGTGACTGAGGTGTGAAGCCACCACAAAGCACCACTCTGCTATTCTTGGCCTTCACGCACTGTATTTATCTCCTGTAACTGGAACCACATCAAAGAAGGAAGATTCCGTGAAGATGGGGAGCAAACAGCATTCTTAATTATTTTTACAATTTGCCTTCATCTTAACCAAAAAATACATCGAATATTCAAAATATCTTACTGATTATAGACAGAAAAACTAAGGTCAGAACAACTAGAAACTTCAAGCTACAGACAAAATGCCTTTCAGTAACATACAAAACAACACAAGACTCTGGAATTTGTCTTTGTTTTGATAGTCACCAAGGATGGACAAATCCACCAAATAAATGCACAAAATATGTAGTAAATAAACTAGAGATCTGCCTATGTTTGTGCATCAGCAGGCATATAGATATGGCCCAACTGATTCAGTCCTTCAGCTGCCTAAGAATGATATGGAATAAGGACCTCTGGGAATGGAAAAGTCTGTTCCTAGCAGACTTCTTGCATGAGTAAACAAGCTATACAACAACTGGGTTTTAATTCACCTTTTAAAATTGTATTTCACATCTAGTTCCATTGTGACAGTAAACAAACACTAACATTTTTCACGGCACAAAAAAACCAACAAAGAATAGTTTAACACAGAATGCAGATAAGAAATTCATTTGTGACACAGACAGAAATACAAATTAACCATATTTGTGCTTCAACTGGAGAACCTGATTTCAGCTTGAGTCTCCAGAATCACTCAATACTGCTTAAAGATTCCTGACCTTGATGGAATTGGCATTTCTATCTGGGTATCTGCAATTGCTGATCTGGCAGATCAGAAATGTTACTGAATGTTCATCTGAAGTCATCAAAATGAATTACCATGGGAAACTCCAGATAATTTGTTTTTGGGGTTTTTTTTCCCCTGGATTTTTTTTCTTTCTTTTTTTTTTTTTTTTAAAGAAGAAAAGATTTAGTTGGACCAAATTTAACATAACACAGCAGAACACCATAGTAAGTAACAATTAGCAGTTACAATTCTTGAACGCTGAAAAACATCATTCAAATTTCCTATTGCTAAAATGAAAGTAGAATTACAGTTATTTCTGTCCTTGAGTTCCAATAAAGATGAGTTGAAGGCTGGGGCATTGCCGCAAGCATTCTAAAATACTACTATTTTAGAGATCATGGACTGATCTCAAAATTCCCTATTTTGTGCATTTCCATGTAACTATATTCTAAGTAAAAAAGGTAATGCAACCTGCATCTACTGGCAGACTGGTTCTAAGACTTGTCGTATTTCAAAAGAACAAACATCTATTATTTAACAACCAGACTAAGAATAGCAGATTAGTCAAGCAATCATCTCCCCACTGTGCAAAGAGAGAAACAAGAAGCAAAGGTTAAATAATTTGCTCAAGGTCAAAGGCTTTGCTGAAAATACGATCAAGACAAAATAGCAAATAGTTGAAACGGAACCTATTTTTCTAAAGAGCTGCTAATAAACACATTTGGTATGCTTTCTCTGAACAGAAGCCCAAACATATTTCAGGTGCTAAATATTCCAAACAAGCCCTAAAAATACATGGCAGCCTCGTACTGACAGCCGCCAAGTACATCTGCCAAAGCTGCATACAGCTTCTGCCCAATTCCTGAAGGGCCAAAAAGTGACAAGCTGCCACCTTCTCTGCAGTGGGACTGAAGCAGGCTGCTCGAGCAGCAGTCGCACACATTGCTGCCTCCTGCACTGGAACTGTTCAGGCCATCAGCAGCTTTGGCTTTCACAGCCACTGATCCAGCAAACTCTCATCACCAGTGCCGATCTCTTTTCAGAGGACTAAGGAAAGAAACCTTAGCCTAATTGCTAAGGAATTACGTGGGGCATACCATTCATTTAATCAGGTTCAAGAGTTCACTTCGTATGTGGCAACAAATGCAACAAGTCAAGTCATAAGAGACTTCCAGACATGTTTACTACAGTTAAAAGGATGTTACAATAAATTTTTAATGGCTGTTTACACCATAATTCTTGCTAATTACCTCTTTTTTGGGGATTGCACAGCATACGATGTTCTTATGATCTTCCAGAAGCTGACAGCATGTCACAGAATGTAAAGGGTGCAGTACAACAAGAAAAGGCAGATAACTTTGGTCTCCTGTATGAATAAAATTGGCAGTTCTGGTGCGAAAAGTTACACTTTTTTCTGTACTGCTCTGATGCTAGCTATCTCCACAACAGAGACCATTACCCTCACCTTTCCTTCTTCCTTTTTCCTCTCTTTCTTCCCATCTTCTTCTGTGTTAGGCAGCCAATGTCCTAAGGAAGATTTGTGTGCTGCTTTGGCACACTGTGGCTGTGTAGCTGCTACCAAACAACAAACACAATCTGAGTTTTTGTTTCTACTGATGTTTGTTAAGGTTGCTAGCAAACTGAACAAGCTTAAAGGCTTTACGCCATCATCAGTAGCTTTCCAATAACGTTGAAAGCTGGTCCCAAATTTCCTTTTTACAGTAATAAGCAAATAAATACGAGTCAAGGGATGGGCATTGTTGGTTTATATTATGTGAGAATGATTCAGAGGCCCTGAAAGGATTCCGATCTGAACCAAACCTAAGGAAGTGCATTTAGAGGAGGTGTTCTGAGCCAACAGCCTGGGGCCCAGACCCTGTAAGCAGCCTGGTACTGGCCAGCTCTGAACACCCTGCTCCTCTGAACACTTCTGCACTTTGACAAACCCATACATGCTTCACCAGAGAGGCAACCTGCCCACCTGCCTCACGCAGACAACAGGCCTGCAGGAAGCCCCAAATAATTTACAGCCATATAGTCACAGCCTTTTAGATTAACACACTTCCACGTTCTGTCTTGCAGCTCACAGCTTTCCAAATCATGCTAAATGCAACAACCATATTGGAAGGATTCAACTTCATTTTTAGTTCTTCAAACTATTCTGATCTTAGATTTTGCTTTCCCCAGTGACCTGACCAGCATCAGACCTACCTCTCCTACCTTAGAGCGGCCTTCCCACGTTGATAGGACTCCTTGAAACTCATCAGCAAGAATAGTCCTCAAATAATTTCATTCTCTTAAAACAGATCTCGAAGAAGCAGCTGACAGATACTGCTACTGTCTTATTCCTTCTCTGATGCTACTTAAGAACTTATCCACACTTATTTTTTACAGCAGAAAAAGCCAGTGTTAAAGAGTTTTACAAGTGCAATTTGCCCTTTTGCAACTGAAGACTCATGTACAAAAGATTTTATATTCACCTGTCCACAGATGCCACTGAGGAATAAATAGGACAAAAATGACATTTTAGATCACACATTCAGATGGATGCATCCAAGAATTCTTTTAAGAATACGTAAAACTGGGTCCAAAGCTGCAATATAACAACGAAGCTTACTTTAAGCTTCTCATCATGACACTTAAGACGAAATTTTAAGGTTACAGAATTCAGTGCTATCTGAATTAGCCTGTGACAACATGACTTTAAGGAATGTTCTTATTTAGCTCAGCCACACAGCAGAACAGATTCTACATGATAGTATCCAGATGGCTGTCTATGTCATCTTTTTATCTCACCCGCTGGTACTTATGGATGAAATGCCAAAGGTAGACAGTCAGAATAAGCAGTCCTATCCAGTCTTGAGATTTATGAACTCAGACTCTGATTTAAGGTAAGTTGCAACCTGCTCCCTATTAAATACAAGCAAATCCCTTGAGTTTGTCCTAGATATTTGCTTCCCAGAAATAATCTCTCAAAACCATCTAGATCTTGTTATTTAAATGCACAAAGGACAGCCACATTTATGTATTTCAAGGTCTTCCCTTTTTAAAAAACAAAAAAACAGCCCAAACTGTACATGTAAATATACACCTGTACACCTGTAGCATGACTCTTTTCTGGGCAAGTGTCAAAGATGGTGGTTAGAGGTTAAGATTTAAACAGATGAACCAACCAATCTGCCAATTATTATACCAGCAAGGTTTTCACAGCCTAGGACATTAGTCTGCCACATTGTGAGTAAACGTGCAGCTCAAAACAGTTAATTCCTTAAAACATAGTACTGGCCATGAATTGACTATTGCACGGAACCCACAAGAGCAACAATCATTAACAGCCCAAAGAGGAGCAATGGAACATGATGGCACAGTTAACTTCTTGCAGACACTGATCCATGAAACGCAATCTTGCATTTAACAAAATCCCATTTTGCAAAAGCAGTAAGGCACCCTTCTAAGTCACATCTGTACTGACAGCCCCTACAAAGGGAAATCACAGCCATTGGTGCCAGTACTAGGAGGTCAATACTTCCCCAGGAAAGGAACACCAAAAATACATGATGCATTATTTTGAACACGTTTAGTGGTAGTACCCTAAAGGTACTGTCAAGAAACAGCTTGATAATAGCTGTCAGTCTCTGGAGTTATCTATTTTGGTCTTACAGTTTTATTAAATATTAAAAAGTATTCAGGAGTTGTACTTACCAAAATGCAGTCCACTTTAGATTGTACAGTTTTGCTAGATGTAAGGAAAGAAAGAGAGAACAAATCTTGAATTAATCTAAACAGTTATTATGAAAATATTACATGTTCTAATAGCTACTACTATACTACAGACTTAATATCCTGCTACAAAATCTCACATTAGCCTGCAGAAGAATACTTAACGTGCAATCCTGTAGGCAGAAATCATGGTGAATCCAACAGTTTGTTACAGTTCGTGCTGTTTTGTTCTCTTGCATAAGGCCCATTTTTAAAATGAAATACTTTTGCAACTAGGAGATATTATCTCAAGTTACAAAGCAGCAAAGATGGATGTCACTATCCCTATTGGAAACTCTTCCACTCTTCAGATGTATTTGTTTATCTGTAAACATAATTAACACCTCCTTCTCACCACGCTTCATTAAACCCACCACTTCAGTGCATTTATTTCTAGCTTCCCAAAGAGCTGCCAAAAAGCAGATACAACTGATATCCCACCATCAACCTACAGAGGAGTTTTCTACTTCCATCTCACTAGCTTTTAATAGTTGGTTTATTAAAAAGACATTGGGCAGGGGCCGAATTCAAGTTTGTCATAAATGACCTCAATAAACGTGCCAAGGAGCGGAATGAAACTTGCTACACTTAAACATAAACACACCCGTTAGCAACTTTTGTACTTAGAGTAACTCCATGTCACATGCTTTGACTGACTCTGTATTAGTTGAAGGCATTTAATCATTGCTCTGAGCTGGAGAATGAGTTTTAACATGCAAAGATCTGTGATTTTCACTGCTGGACACCGAATGATTGATCTCTAAACAATTCCCAGGTTTAGGAAACATTTCACTGCCAGTAGAATAGAAGATAAATTAGCCTTCTGTTAGCAGAACAAAATATACTTCCACTTATTTTATTTTTGTATACATGCTACCCACATACAACGAAAGACCAAGTAAGATACCTGATAGATATGCTAAAATGAGAAGAAAGCAGAACAAATGGCTCCAGTGTCTGGTTGTAATAGGAGCCAGAACTACTCAGTCTACATCTACTGTTACATCAAAATGTTCAAAGAAGCAGCAGCTCAGCTGTCCTCCTTAATACAGCATCACATTTTGAAACCACAAAGTCTAAAATGTGACGTCCAGAAACTGCTATTACTTTCATGCAAGAACTGCATATGACTAGAATGACAATACAATAAAAAACATAAGGAGGTAAAAGCCTATGACAAGCCCGCTAAGCTCACTTGTGTAAAGATGATCAGACGGGTGCACATTTGGGAGGGAAGCTGAGCTACTCGGGATTTGTGCACACAGAGGATGCTATGAAGACAGTAAAATAGAAGCTTTTCCTCATCTATGGGAAGTGGCTCCCATCTACTGCAGCAACTGAAGGACATTCAAATGTCACCTCACTTTTCATAAACAATCATCAAACTACAAAGTCAGAGGACACCAAGCATGGATACTTTCTGCTGCTATTAAGAGGTATAACTGCCTCTGACTTAAAGCTGACCAAGGCCACCCAGCTGCTCGTACAGCACTGCTCTCACCCTAGCCTCCACCCTGCCCCAGTGCCTCCAGCAGGATTTCACAGTGCCAGCACTGCTGCAGATCCACAGCCTCTCACAAAGCAGCAGTTATAGCAGCAGGCGACAGGGCTCAGGCACGCGTCCACTTTTGTGGCTAAACTTTTCTACAGCTTCATACACCACCTTAACACAGAAAAGCAGCACAGAGGATAAAGGGATGCAGGGTATAGGTGCACCCAACTCAGTTGAAATGCAGCCACTACTCCACAGATTTGCACATAACATTTTGTGCTAGGCTTTTTGGGAAGGCGTGCTTCAACCAGCACAGTTGACAGTCGTGGCAGATCCTGACAAACTGTACATAAGCATGCCCATTTGCATTAATATGCTCTTCCTGTAAAAAGAGTCAGGTTGCCAGGAGGCAGCTGGGCAGGAGATCCGTAGAGTTGTCCTTTTACCTCCAAACATCATTCTAAGCCAGCTAAATGTAAATTCTCCAATCCAGTTGCGACCTCCCTTTGCACAGCACCATAACAGCACCTAGAAGTAACTGCTAAAGAGCAGTATTTGGACCAGTGGATATAATTTCCTCTGTTTCTTTCTCTTTTTTTAATTAGCTGGTTGCAACATCTTAAAAGGCAAAGGTCTTATGGCTCAAGCAGGAATAAAGGTGGTATTTATTTCAAGGACAACTTTTCCACCTCCAGCTCCCTACTCCTTGGTACACTGGAAGGACACTGTTACCAGTAAGCAGATACTTTTTTTCATCCTAATCAGAACTCAGGCTAACATAGCCTGACTTCCTACCGCCTGTGTCTAATGACATCACACTTCTCATTTATCTTCCAGTGGATTGATCAGGCCACAGCAACCCTGAGGAACCAGTTGTTTAACTGGGAACATTGCGTGGATAGCGACCTTTGCAATGCACAGAAAAGCTCTGCATGGTGCAATTTTAAGATGTTGCACCTCCATCTCATCAGGAGATAAAAGGCAAAACAACAAATGCGGTGAACTAACAGCCATCCCAGATATAACATATTCGCCAGTTTCATTTATTTCTCCCCACTACTTCCTTTGCTTATTTACAGGACAGATGTGTTATTGAAAGCTGACAGTTTTCAACTTTAAAATAAATAAGCCTGCTTCTGTCCCTGCCAAATGCATCAATTACCTAATAACTTCTTTAATTACAGAAACCACAACCATTGTATTCAGTTTTATAGGCAACGAGATTTAATTTGGTCAGCAACTTTGAGAGACTTCTGGCAACAATTTGTTCAGTTAGCCCCTACCATCAGCAACCACAACGGCATGGCTGAATCAGACCCTATATGTGGAGCTATTTCTAATGTTTGGAGGCTACCACTCACACACTTTGCTCCATGTGTAGTAACAGCAGCAGGAGAGAACCAAAAGCAATAGATGTTCTCACTAATGAAAAATAACCATTTCAAACTATTAGTGACTCAAGCTCATCAGAAAACTAAGATTAGGAGTTGTACTGCAAGTTGTACTGCTCCTTCTGGACCACTGCTCCATGCAGCACCTGGGTACTTGCTGCAAATTTCGCATTAGTGACTGCCTCGAGCAAGCAGCACAGCTCTGACATCCACTATTCTGTAGTTCTTTATGTTGAAAGTCTCTCCAACATCAAACTATTTTTCTTATTTGACCTAACACTTAAAGAGGGCTACTTCAAGCAGTTTCATCCAGGGTACACAGCATCTTTGTTGATTCGGGGGGGACCTGTCCTTTATGAGGGATACCAAAGTATCCATTTTTGACAGATTCTACAAGTACTGATCTGCCACAAGAACCAGGTGGGGAAAACCTTTGAGACTTTGCAAAAAAGATCCAGTGATCCTGTCACAAGCAATGACGACGTGAACAGTGGTGATACACCGGAACAGGCTGCCCAAGAAGGTTGTGGATGCCCCCATCCCTGGAGGCATTCAAGGCCAGGCTGGATGTGGCTCTGGGCGGCCTGGTCTGGTGGCTGGTGACCCTGCACATAGCAGGCGGTTGAAACCAGATGAGCATTGTGGTCCTTTTCAACCCAGGCCACTCTCTGATTTTATGATGAGTGGTTTACTCAGTGGATACTACCAGGAGTGCAGTCTAAGTTCGGCTCCACTGCTCACAGAAACGCGTCTTGAAAACTTAAACTCCGACCCGAACAACCACTCTGAACTAAGAGCTCCCCTCTGAAGAATTACCATTAGCCATCACGTAGAATGCTCAAAAACAAGAGTCCAGCATTAGTTTAAGCAGCACCAAAAAGGGGGGTTATTTAGCCTGTGCTTTACAGAAGCACGACGGCAGTCCCCTGTAAAGCCTCTGTACTTCACAGGAGACCCGCAGCTCCATATCCTCCCATTAAATGCAAGGGCAGTGACAGCCATCCTGGAAAGCTCCTCATCAGTACTTACAGACTCAGTCTTTAGGCCCAAGACCTTGGACATATTCTTGCACATTTACTTTTGGATGCTGCAGTAATTTGAGCTCCTGAATGCTGCAGCCATTCTGAAACTCCTGAAGTTATCTTTGGAAGTGGGGGGGGAGAAGAGTGAAATCAGACTAAAGCATTTCCTCCAACTGCTCTTCCATCTTGTGCCAAAGTATGCACGTCTGCTCTTCCTGACCTATTTGTGAATTTCTACTCAGAACAGCCCCATTTTAACAACCCTGACTTGGCAAGAGCAGAAAGAAGCATGTGTTCTCTGCTCAGGTGCTCAGTCAGGTTACTTTGCACTGAGGGGGACATGGAGAGGAGAGAGAAGGTAAGGAGATGGAATTTTTTTTTTCAAAGTGGTATAAAACTAGATGTTGCCAAACTTACTTTAAGGAATATGCAGCTGAACTTTGTTAGCAATATGGGAATATCTTATTACAAGAGATGGCAGAATTCAGTTGCTCCAGGCACATTTAGTATTTCCTTAATGCTGCAAATGGTAGAGGCCATATAATCACAAGGGATACAAAAACTCTTGCGCTTGTGAGACTAGAATGAGTTGGGGGAGGTAAGAAAAGCCCTAGAGCTGAACTTAACCCCCAAGTGGAGGAAGGTGTGAACACCACCACAAAAAGTCCAGTTTGACAAGATTCGGGAGAGAAGTGGAGCTACAGCTTACAGCAGAAAAATACTGTAGCAGTTCAACTAAAGTGCCTTAGAAGCCCACCGACACTTTATCACTATGGCTTTAATACCTTCAGTGGATTGGATACAAACACTGTGTATTCTCTGCAGCTCTGTATCACAAATGTTTGCATAAACTGGAATACCCTCCTCTATAGCCTCAAGTATGAAGCTATAAGAGAATACTCTATAGCCTCAAGTATGGTATACTGCAGACATTCCAGGAAAAACATTCCCATTAACTCTAATGCAATTTATGAACAGGAATGGCCTTTTGTAACTGCTCATGGCTTTATGATACATTGCGAAACCAGGATACAATTCCTGACCAGACAGGAAGGGTTTCCCGCTGCAGAGC